GAAAAGAAAAAAAAAAGAACTATTAAAAAAAAGAAAAAATTTTACAGTGCTCAATAGATGTAACTTAGTGCGCACTGAGCTCAATCGCCAGATCTACCTACACCAAGAAAAAAAGAAAGTTTTGTCAATTTTATATGTACTTTTATCCAAAATTTTGACTTTAAGAATACAAATGGACAAGAATAGCCTTGTAGAACACCTGAGAGTTGACTGAGTGCTTTGACATGTGTCACCTGGTTTGACCCTGGCAGACAGCTCGGTACATGACTGGCAAGATGCGAGCTGGGATTTAAGCACCAGCCTTCTCACATAAGAGCCTGGGTCCTCCTTTTGGCCCTGGTATTGAATTCTGATCTGGTTCCGGTGACAGCTGATTGTACTTAGCTGTGGACAGAGCAAGTCTATCTTTCTATTCCTAATGCCTGCAGCAGTGATTCGATGTTGAACAAATGAACATACAAAAAGACGTCACATGGATGGCACTGACATTAATTTAGAAATTTTGTTCAATGCGGATATTGAATTTTGCATAGTCTCTTTTACAATCTGGCAGCCTGGGGAGAGACTAGAATATATACATCAGCAGCGCTTTCCCGTCGATATCTATCCCAGTACAACTGCAGCCTTAAACAAACATTAAGAGGAGGTTCGATGAGAACAATGTCGTCCACCTGACAAAAGCAGCTAATCCTGTAATCTCAGATGATGTTAGGTCTCTGCAGAATGACTGTGAGTTTAGCTGCAAGACACGTTAAAAAACCACTAATGTAATTAAAATACACTTGCAGCATTTCAAGAAGTTAATCATGCAGCAGGGCACTCAGTTTGCAATTCAATATTTTTCCTACCTTTTTTGTCAGTGCACAAGCAATTCCCCTTTGCAAGACTCCAGTAAAGCCTCAGGTCAGGGAGAGAAGGACCATGCACATCCCAGCAGCATGCAATGCTCCAGAGGAGCCGAGAGCGCCCAGGGGAACTGAAGAGCCTCGGGGAAAGGCTTCCAGTACACAAGCGGACTCCGGCACACCACCGTCCCAGAGCACTGGGGCACACGGCTGCTCAGTAACACAGTGCCAAAACACACTCACACTTCGCCTCCTTTACATCTCCCTGCCTCCTCCAAGCTCATCCAGTTTTTTCTTTTTACCTCAATGTAAAATTTTGACCAATTTCACAGCTATAGAAAAGTAAAAATGATCACATAAGAAACTGTCAGCAAACCTTTCACCGGAGTGACCAGTCTTTTATATTCTGTCACATTGTTTAATCTCTACACATGCTGTTTGTGTTATGTTCTGTTGTGCTGTGTTGTGTTGTGTGATTTGGTTTGGTCTGGTTTCAGACAAGGTCTTCCTAAATCGCCAGGAGGATCTGAAACTCATGTTCTTCCTGCCTCAGCCTCCTTGGTGCTGGATTAAAGGCATGTATTATTACCACACCCAGCTTCTTACATATACTTTTTTAATAACTGTATTTTGACTAAACTGTTTGCAAATAAGCTTCAGGCATCATATTTCCTTTAGATAGATTTGAGGGAGAAAAAATCTTCAAACACTTTTGGAGATTTGCCCTGTCACATATAAAACTACAAACTGTATGAATTAAGCCAGAAAGACAAACATGGCTAATATATCCCTATAAAAAAGAAATAATGGAGCTGGGGATTTAGCTCAGTGGTTTCGCCGACTGCTGCGCAAGCGCAAGGACCCGAGTTTGATCCCTAGTATCAAAAAAACAAACAAACAAAAGAGAGAGAGAGAGAGAGAGAGAGAGAGAGAGAGAGAGAAAAGAAACAATGTGCCCAGTTATGTACAAGTAACTCCTACCTCACCCTTATTTTTTGGTAATTAAGGCGTAATCACCATAACATGAATCAGACATGGATACAATTTCACAGGGAGAGGGAAGTGCTGTAGCAAAAGTGGGAGATGGCCCATACTGACTCCTGCCTTCAGTGTTCACCTCAGGGCTCTCAGCCCTCTGGTCTGACAGGTGGCTGATAAGCCTCACAATGCCCTCCTGCCTGACTTCTGTAGACAGAATCAATGGGTGGCAGAACAGGAAGCAGAGAACAAACAGAAAGCCCAGGACCGCATAAGCTGAGCTACAAACATAAATGGATGTAAGGTCAGGTGCCACATAAAGCAGTAAAAGTCAATCTCATTTGGAAAAAAAGACCACTTTGTTGGGTGAAATCACAATTATAGATTTCAGCACATGTCAAATGCTAAAAAGTAATGATGGAAGATTACTATAGTTGCTGAAGATTTCTTTTCAAAGGTACATCTGCATTAGTTCCTTTTCAATACCAAACCATTTATTCTTTTAGAAGGTTATTTTTAAATCAGTCTATTTCAAGAAAAATAACAGGGCAAATGCATTACTGAGGTAAACAACCAAACACATTTATTTGCGTTGTGCTTCAGCTTAATTTTTTGGCTTCTTCCCTCACTCATACAGAAATCTAACTGACTATCACACAACACTGCCCACCCATCACGGGAAACATGCTAAGCATGAGCTGTGTGATTTTGATCACGTGCCTGCTTTCATGTAGTTTACGCAGGATGGTGACGTGGTAGACAGAGCCAGTTAGTATCCACCAACACCTAGTTTTTCTCACTTTTCTAGGCAACTGGAGAACTACTCCCAGACCCTTTGAAACTAGGAGGAGTCATACGATTAGCTTTAAATAAAGAGATACTGCTGCTTCCGATCTAACACATAAAAGGTCCCACTTTTTATCCCTCTCTTCCCTTCTAAGGTCATAAATTAAGATACAGAGGCCTCAAGAGGGTTCCCCATGGGTCCTATGATTACCGGCTGGAACAAGCCAAGGACAGACAACAGCAGGCTTTGCCACAAATAAGGTACCAATGTTTATGTGGCAAGTGACAGAAATATTAGGACTGTTCATTGCTTGTTCATGGGATTGTCTGCATTATTACAATGGTGTAGAAGCTGAGCCTACATTAACTTTTTTTTTTCCATTAAGTTTCTACAGTGATTATTATAGTTGAAAGGAATTGTGTTAGTCAGCTTTCCTCTGCCACGACAAAAATCTGAGACAACAACTCCAAGGAGGAAAGGTTGCCCTGGCTTACAGATTCAGAAGGTTCAGTCCATGGCATGTGGCTCCATTGCTTCTATGCCTGCGGTAAAGGCGGCAGGAGAGTGTGGCTGAGGAAAGCCACTCACCTTAAGGCAGTCAGAAGGGAGAGAGTCAGAGGCAAGATAAGGCCTTCAAAATTAGGCGCTGAGTGACCTACTTCCCTCAACTAGGCCTTATCTCCGAGCAGTCCATTCAGCTATGAGCTCATCAATGGCTTAGTGGCCTCATGATCCATTGATCCATGCAGCATCTCTTAAACCAATCAACTTTCTGTGGAGGTTAGCTGTCACGGTACAGCATGCTTTGGTACTCGTCTCCAAAGGCTCAGGCGTTAGAGGTGTGGTTGCCAGCCTGTGGTGCTGTTGGGAGTGGGAAACCTTTAGAAGGTGAGGGTCTAGTGGAAGAAGTTGTATCAGGGGCACTGTGTCCTTGAAAGGGCAATAAGGACCTCATCCTCCCTTCCTTCTCCACCCCCCACCTCTTCCCAAGAACTATGAGGTGAGCGCCGCACTCGCATCATGATAGACTAGGCCTCAACAGGCCCAAGCCACCATGGACTGAACCTCTGGGACTGTGAGCCAGAATGAACCCTTCCACCTTGGGAAGTGTTTGTCTGGGAATCTTGTCATGGCCACAAAAAGCTGACCAACACAGGGGAGTGTGACACAAAAGAGAAGCCCAATGAATAATTATGGAAAAAACCAACGAATGGACAGATGAAGAGTGCAGAAGGACAGGAGACGCTACGGAAGAAGTGCACCACAGTGAGCAAGAGCACAGGCTGGGAGCTCCAGCTGGTGTGGACTCTAATTCTCCTCTTGCTAGCGAGGAGCCCCAGGACAACTTCCCCAAGCGCACTTCCCTTCCTCTTGAAGAGGCTCGGGCTGACAACAGCACCACCTCAAAGGGTCAGTGAAGTGAGCTGGTCCATGAGTTAGTGCTCAGAACAGCAGCTCAAACACAAAAGGGCCTCCTAAACACTAACACTAACTCAGCAAACCCGAGGAACGAGACCACGGTTTGGCTGTTTTTCTAATAACTAAAACTACTGGTCAAGTTAAATTCACTTTATTAAACCTGATATCTGAAAGAAGTACCACAGCTGAACTAGCACTGATTAGTCTCCCTCACTGAAGACAAAATTATTTCTTCCACTCAGTCTCACAGAGGGTGTGTTTGTTTAAAGCAATTAGAAAGTAAAACACCGTGGCAAGCGCTTACCTCAGTGACGCTGTCTCCACCACTGGTGACCTGCTTGTAATACGGCGACCCTGAGAGGACTCTCCACACGAACAGGCCACAGCTGGCTGCCCTCGAAACGCCCACCTCAGAGTCTCCACAGCCACCAACCAGCAGAAGTCTGGAAGAGAGAAAGAACTGAAACTGCAAATATGAACAAGGTAAAAGCAAAAGAGAGATCACAGAAACATTCACCTTCACAAGAAAACTAAATCAAAATTAGTATGTGTTAAGCCTGGAAGGTCAGCATTTTAGGCAAAATAACCACCAGAAATCCAATGATTTCTTTAACTGGACTTTTACCCTCACTTATGCAGAAGCAATGCTTAAACATTCAGTGGGGCACTCGGAAAGCCAGAGAAATGTCCTAAGCCTGGTCACTGCATACTGAAGACGCCACCCGGATCGACACCAGTAAGCATCTGTGAGCATCTGTGTAGCTTCACCAGGTGCACACACATCATCTGTATCTGATACCACAAGGGCACCAGTACAGCACGTCAGAAAGAAATGACAAGCTGGACGAGGTGGCACACACCTGTAATCTCAGAACTCTGGGAGGCTGAGGCAGGAGGGTTACAAGTTCAAACCCAACCTGGGTAACAGTGACTCAAGGTCCTGTTTCAAAATAAAAAAGAGGTGGGGTGGGGGCCGGGGATTTAGCTCAGTGGTTATGCCGCCTGCCTCGCAAGCACAAGAACCAGAGATCGATCCCCGGTACCAAAAAAGAGGTGGGGTATAGCTCAATGTGGAGGCCCTGGGTTTAATTTTTTTATGAAAAAATAAAACAAATTTTCATAACCAAATAGTAAGAGTAACAGTTATTACACTGACACTATACACTGTTATCTTCAAAGAACACTCACCTCTACCATATTCTCATAGATCTAAGATTTCCAAAGCTAGACAAAAATCCTTTGAGATTTAGCCACAGAGCTTAGCCCAACTCAAAATCTATGAAGTCTGTACTCACACTTTTCACAGAAACACGACTTGAGCCTTCACTGGAGCCGTTTTCCATTTGCTGTTTTATATATGGCTCTAATAAGGTCACATCAGCAAAGCAAAAGCGGTGAGTCAGAGAAAAAGCTGGAGGCCATCTGTCTGGACTGATCCCCCATTCAGCAAACCCTCAGAGCCAGAACACAGCAAGAGGGACTCGGGTCCAAAGTCAGGCTGGCAGAGCAAGTGTCACTGACCCACACCATCGCTTCTGTCACATGATCCTGTCCCACTGAAATATTTCCCCAAAACGCATACCCAGTACGGGTGGAGCCACACCATCCCTCTGAGTCTCACCAGCAATTTGGACAAAAAGCTAATAAAAAGCATTTTAAACAACCCTCTGAACATGCACCCAACAAAAGGCCTAGTCTGGTTTCTTAGGAACATGCAAACACACACGTGTGCACACATACATGGCGGGGAAGACGACAAGAGAGTGAAAGAGTGAGGAAGTGGAGGGCAGACCAGTGAATTCCGGAGAGCACGACAAGGGAGTGGATGTCCATCATCACTCCTCGGTGTGTCAATGCCATCGTGTTTGTGTCTTCATAGAGCCCTTACTTTGTAGAAATACACAGAAATATTTGCAGATGCACTGATTTGCTGTCAGAGTTTGATGTCAAAGGACCCAGAGGGAGGTGGAGGGAGGGCTGGCTGGGACCAAGGAGAAGCGATGCAGGCTTCACGAGGCCCTGCCCGGGGGAAACGCACCAGGGAGGCACTGTGGTGTCGCTCCTTGTCTACACGCTTCAAATTTTTACAGAGAAGAACTTCTCCCCAAAATGTGTTTGCTAGGATAAATTCTTCTAAATAAACAGAAACAAAACATGTAACTTTCAAACAGAAAACACGACTCCATAAAATAAACTTTTAAAAACCAATAACCTGCCAGGTGTGGTGCTGCATACCTATAATTCCAGCACTCAGAAGGCTGAGGCAGGAGTATTGCTGTGAGTTCAAGCCCAGCCTCGGCTACACAGTGAGTTCAAGGCCAGCCTGAACTACAAAGAGAGACGCTAAGCCAAGAACTAGTGAAGGAGGCACCAAGAAAATGTCTTCAAGATGTCTGTGAGTGAGCAAGATGCCACGCTCTTTGCTGGACTCTTCACCTTAAAGATGCCAATTCATCTTGGGTTAATCTGCAGACCACAGGACATGTCAAAGAAAACTCTAGCAGAATTCTTCACAGTACCAAACAAAACGATGTAATGCAACCAGACCCACGTTGATTCACATGGAGAGGTGCGGGTGGCCACATCCACCATGTTCAGTCCTCCCCTATGACCTGGGCTCTGCACATCCTGACCTGGAAAAGTCTCCCTACCCTTGTGTCATGAAGACATTCACCTTCAAATCTCACGGCAGTAGAATTTAAAACTTCTATCTATAAAATGAAATAGCACATTGCACACTGGGAGAGGTTTTTACAACATATAAAGGTAATAGTGTATTAGTAGAGAGAATGCATAAAGATTCCCCCTCCTGTCTAAAAGAAAGATAGACAAGGAAAAAGCAACAGCAAGTCAGAGGAGAAGAAAACCAAAGGCCAAGAGTGCAGATTAAACAGCACAGATGTACATCGACCCTCCTACAGAAGGGGTAGGGACACGGTCGCACTTCTCAGCTACTGAGACTGCATTTAAGTGAGAATGCTCCGTGCAGTGAGGATGGTTAGGGATGCGGTGACTCTTGTAAATCACCAGTGAGACTGTATTTATAGCAGGCAGGACAGACACGGACACACATAGTGGAAGGCGAGGCTCCAACACTGTGACACTGCAACCAGAGAACAGGAAATGAAGCAGCAGGGGAGCAGGAAACAGTGTCTGTGCTAACGTCTCTACACTCAGAGATCTCCATGCGTACATGACACAGTCTCTTAGGTAGAAGAGGCAGCACTTGTAAATTGTGAGTGACAGGTGCTTGGGTACGCAGGACATTTTTCTCAGTACTTTTTTCAAACTCAAAACGAGGACTATTAAGATACAGTATTCCAAATTATGTACATAAATTCTCAAATTAATGAAGTCCAAAAGGAAAAATATCAGTCAAGTGGCCTGTACATTTTACATCAACCCACAAGTCTAATTAAATACTGAAAAGGAAATTAGCATATAATGTGCTTTGTGACATTTAGAGGTTGTTTATATATTAGTGGTTATATCTTAAGCATTCTCTAAGCTTTTACTGAAATAACTGTTAGATTTTTATAGAAATTAAGTCTACAGACAGAAAATTCTGTAGAGAACAATTTATGTTATTAATGTTATTTTCTGCATTAAGTTCCTCCACCCAGAATATTTACATGCAGTGGTAACCATTAAATCCCTAAGTGTAGAAGATATTTGGTTAAGTGCTTAATTTTAGAGTCACATTTTGAAGAAAATAATTACACCTACTTTCAAATTATCATATGAAGATACAAAATGAAACAATTTTTAGAGTCTAAATAATAATTCTCCACACTGAAACTTTACCTCTCCTTAACAAAAACGAAACAGAGAGAAAAATGAGACTATCTTTCCCAACAGTCCTCAAACTCAAATTTCACAGACAGGGCAGGAAATGCAGGTCAACAAGTCAGGGTACTGGGTAGCCCTGCGATCTGGAGACGCCTTCGCTGTCAATCTTCCCTGTACACGGCTGCAAAGGCCGAGGGCCTCAGCCCGGTGCGGGCGTGGGGGGGCGGTGCTGTCCCAACAGCCCAGGCCTGACTCTTCTCAGAAACGCCTTCCAGCACCACTTCCCTCACCAGTCTCGAGTACAGCATGCTGCCTGGACCAAGCCACGTGCTCAGCTTCCCCCTGCCCCACAGAGACACGATGTGGGGCCACCGAGAGGTTAGAGACAAGAAGGGCTGCAAGGCCCATTAACTGCACTCGGGAGAGGTCAGATGGTGTCAAGGGGAGGCACAGGTGCAAAGATGGCCTCGAGATAATCTCCTAGGCGACAAGCCATGGAGGGCAAAGCTCTCTAAGCCACTGAAGGAGCTCAAGGCACAGAGAACTGCAGACACACGAGTGCTTCTGGCCTCTAATGGCAGGCGGCAGCACCAGGACAGACGTGCAGGTCCTCCGCCACACAGGCTGCATCGTACTCCCTCTTGAGCGCCTGTCCCAGCCCACCTCCTGCGCTATGCATTTGTTTGAGCACCTCCAGAACTAAACACGTTGCTGCCTGGATGCAGACTGCATCTAATTCATCTCTGCATCCTGGGCACCACTGACCGCTGAAGTTGCAGCCAAGAAACACCCACCAGGGCACTACCAGTGAGGACATCTGGGTGCACAGAGGGGAGGAAGACAGAGTCCCTGGCCCTGACTTAACAGTGCTAGCTTCAGTCCTCCCGCCAGAGAATGAAGGAGCTGAACAAATGGTGAACTGAGTCTTCCAGCCCTGACAGCCTGAAGAGTCTAAAACTCACAGCAGGAACAGAGATATCAGACAAAAAAATAAACTAAGTGATGGGGAAAGGTGCACACATGCAAGGAAAGAATTAAAGAAGCCTGAATCAAGGCAGAGGCCAAATAAGAACAGGAACAGTAACCCAGACATGGGAGAAAACCTAATAGAGAGACAGGACACAAGGCCCTGAGCATCACACTGTATGCAACACTGCTGACAACAAAGTTGGGAGCCACCCTGAAAACTGATTCCAAAAACAAGTCAAAAGGTTTATCAAGAAGGTTCTTCAATCTGACACTGGCTAGAAGAATCTGCCCTCTAGTGGCTCAGAACTCCTTCAAGCCAAAGTACAGCGTAGGAAGCTCAAAACAATGAGAATTTCTGTGTGTACTGTCAATGCCTGATGTGCCCAAAGCATACAACAAGAAGGGAGGAAGGGGGAGGAAAAGGCTCCATGTCCCACGATTTAAAAATGTGCAAAAGGCTGGGATTTGGCCCAATGGTATAGCACTTGAACTAGCATGGCAGAGGCCCTGGGTTAGACTGGTTAGACAAGAGAAGGCCTGTCAAAGTAAAGGCTCCAAAAACATAACCTAACCTTCTGAACTACAAGCAGCTCCTCCCTTGGGAAACCTGAAACATCACCTATTTAATTAATTACTACACATTACCCCCGAGTACAGAGTTTTAAACTCTGCTGTTAACCAACCA